TGTATCAGTTATTTGTGTTCTGGTTGCTTCTAAGTTAAAGTATAATTTGATCTTTGTGACCATGCTCCTTGACAGAAAGGTTGAAACTTCATTTGGTTTAAAATGGGACCACCAGAGTCAGTTAGATCGCATTACACTGTTCTTTAAAGCTGCGCTAATGCCATTTTATTGCTCTGCTCAGCTGAGTTGTGGATTTTGACTAAAAGATCTAAATGAAACTGAGGCCAGAACTTCTAAGAACTGCATTCTTCTATGTAAGTCTTTCTGTCACTTTTTGAGACTTGACTTTGGGTCCTCTTATGTGAAAAATTGCACTGGATGGATAATCAGGGCAGGGGCTTTTCTGCTATGACCACAATGTCTGAATAGCTGCCCATAAAGAATCTGCCTGGCCCACTGCATTTTACTTTAGACAAACAATAAACAGTTTTATTCTACTGAGCTGTTATAGAGTTCATATTAATGCTGTTCCTTATTCTATTCCTGTCTTCCCATTTTTGAAGTCTTTTTATTAAAGAGTCCCATATTCTTTTTCATGATCTCTGTGCACACTAATGGATCCTCCTGCATTTGTGCAGGACATTTTGGAACCTTCCAGAGCTGAACTGTAGCACTTTGGTTCAAGCCCCACTTACTTCACTTCGCATATCAGTCCTATTCCCCTCTAGATCTGTTAGCTCCTTGATGTCTGCTGTTGTGACGGTTATGTCCTGGAATTCTTCCCTACTTTCCATCCTTGGCTGAGTGAAATCCTTCTTGTAAATAGTTTTTCTATATATTTTCTAACAGTTAGTTCTCACCTGATACATAGACCAAAAGAGATCTTGGCCAACATAGGTGATCTTGAATGCTGTGGATCTTGTGGTTTCTATAATATTGGCCATAGTCTCGGGTGTCCAGCTGGTCATACCTCTCAACTCTTCAACTTCAGTATCCTATATGCATTCAGTGTGCAACTGCAGCTGTCAGGAGGTGTCTTCAGTATGCAGGGTGGACTTCTGCAGAAACAAATTATCCTCGTCCTAGCATTACTACATTCACAGCCTGTGGTCTGCCAAAGAAAAAAATCCATGTTGATTTACTGGAATACCTGGATGTTTCCAAGGCCTTCCAATTGTTTGAGAAAATCCTAATTGGCAAGACAGTACAGATCTCTGGAGAACAACACCATGGTATATTACATGAACAAGCAATGTGGCGTGCATTTTGACGGTCAAAGCAGTAAGACAATGGAACCAGTTGCCTCAGGAGATTCACTCCAGTGATGGAGGCATTTAGGAGAAAATTAGATAACCATCTGTCAAATATAATTTGATATGGATTCCTGCATTGAATAGAGGGTTATACTCAATGGCCTTATAGGCCCTTTCCAACTCCATTATTCTATGATTCTATGCATTTCTCACAACTCTTGGAGAATTGTGCATCTGCAGATGCATTTGTCCTATCATGGTTTGCTTTCTAGGCACACAGAACATGCAAACAGATATTCTTTGCAGAAAGATGACAACCATGTGTAAGTGGCATCTCCCTCTATTTATAACCCATCACTTGTTTGCACACTGGAGGGTTCCCTAGATAAAGGGAAGTTCAGTACACCAAATGTCTCTTTTCTACCAGAAGTGCAGCTTACATATCTTGCAAGGTTTTTCCATGCCCACTCTTTGCAGTAATTCTGGCATGCTTTTGGAAGAATTGTTGTACACCTTGGGCATTCATTGTGTATTAGCCTTTTATGGGGCTAAAATGAAAGACTAGAGGCACATGCAATGACTCTTCGTTTGTTATGGAAAATTAAAGAAAAGACTTCCAGTGCCTACGTATTTTCTCTCAAAGTGGGAATTAGCTCAACTACCACAGCCACAGCCAGTTTGTGAGCTCCTTGTGCATTCTGCTGCAGTGTTGACAGTCTTTCTCTGCAGAGTGTCTTTACTAGAGATCTGTAGAGTATCAGCATAGAATCATCCTTTCATATTTGTCTGCCACTACCAGCTGGGCATACGATCTTCTCTAGATTTTCCTCCAGTGTCCATGTGTTACAAGATCTATCCGTGCCCATTTTTTGGCAGAGTAGTGTTATCTTCTTTTCCGTAGTGGCATCTTCCTGTCTCTGTCAGGTGAGCTTTGGGATCACAAATTAGTATGTGTTCACAGAGACTATGAAGAAGAGGTTGCTTACCTGTGTGATTCTGTAAGTGGTCATCTTTGAACTCACACAGTCCAACCACCTCTCTGCTGAGATTTTCCTTCTGTTCCTCAGGCAACCAACCAGAAATGAGAAGATCTGGAGAGAGAAAATGGGGCTCATATCAAAATGCTACAGCTCAGTTCTGGAAATTTCCAGAATGTTCTGTGCAGGTGCCAAAAGACCCATTTGAATTCACAGATGACCACTCAGTACCACAATTACAAGTAAGCAACCTGTTCTTTCAGGTTGTACAATTCTGCATGTTTATGTTGATTGTAAGCTAGTTTTAACAGCATGCTGAAATGCATGCTGAAAATGAATAAAATATGGAACTTCTTTGTTGTGAAGAACACACACATTGCTCCTCTCATTAAGCTTTGATATGACTCTCAGGGATTTGCTTGTTAGAGCTGTCCACGTCAGAAATTCCCTCTGTAAAAGCAGGTGTTTTTTTTACTTGTCACAGGCAGGTAGATATAATTTATGTATTTAGTTTAGCTTAGTTAATGGCAATGACTGTTGTAATCTTTTGTAGTTTTTCCCATGTGGTAATATGCATATCCAAATGTATAACTGCCAAATTATTGGACAGAGACCCCCAATTCATTCTGCATTCATGTTCTCGGGGTTAGGGACCAAACTATGTTTGTATTAGAGGACATTATCTTACTGCAAAAATGCAGAATGGTTAGTGTCACTGGGGGGAAAAGCAGCTTGAAGGGGTAGACTTTAAGTAAAAAATCACCAGGAGAAGGGGTTAAAAGCTCCTTTCCAAGTTAGATATACAGCAGCATCTACAGTAGATTTTTTTTAAGTCAAGGAGACTAACCACACATGATTGATAGTCATGGGGAATGTAGTCCCTGCTCTGCAGTTTTATACCTCCAGATATCACAATGGATCATATTAGCTGAGGAATATTTCATTTAGTGGCAAAATAGTGGTGTGTGGGTGGGATGTGTGATAATAATTTAATTTGATTCATATTCCTCTATACTTAAATAATACATATGTTTGCACTTTGTTGTCTGGCACATAACTGAGGTGACATCAACTTTTTTTTGTATTAAAAGTGCACAGATGTGCACCTCTGACATTGCACAGTGAGTTAAAACAGAATTCTGTAAGTCATTAGTGACAGAAGGGGGCAGTTCAAACAAAATGTTACACTTTTGACCATATTTGGCAGATTATATCTTCTTTTACTGCCATTTTCCCATGGCTCATAATGAATGTGATAATTATTTTTCAGATACCTACCACTGCTTCCTGAAAAGGAAAGGATTCATGTTACATTTTTTAAAAATTGAAGTTGATCCATCCTGTAGTGTAGAACATTACACGGGAAATTTTTAATATAGTGTAATTTGTGTAAACATACATACTTATTGAAGTATTCTGTAGCAATTGCAGAAACTACTAGCTAATACTTTATGAAATGGATTAGTTCCATTGAGATGAGGTGAGTGGGACTTACTTATGGGTAAGATGATATACTGGGACTTTAGCCTTATCATAGGAATACATATTTTGAATACAGTACATGTAAATACAGAGAGGAGCCATGGGGCTGGTGGATGTGGAGAAAAAGGAGCCACAGGCAGAGGGAGGTGCCATGAAGAGAAAGAGAAGGGAGCCATGGAGAGAGGGAAAGAGAGAGATGAAATGGAAAAAGATGAGAGAGCTATGGAGAGAGGAGCACAGAGGAAAAGAAAGAAAGAGGAGCCACCTAAAGACAGAGGCCATGGAAAGAGAGAATAAGAGCAAGAGGGGAAGCCATAGAGCAGGAGAGACAGAGAGAGTGTGTGTTTATGGAGCTGTGTAGAGAAGACCTGATGGAAGAGAAGCCATTTGGTGAGAAATAGAGAAGGAGAGACATAGGAGCCAGAGACAGAAAAGAGAGGAACCAGAGATGTGGGGGAAGTAGAACAAGTCAGTGTCTGTATACTTTAAGGTGATCTCCATTTAGTTTCACAGGGCTTATTCTCAAGAGGTAATTTAGCTTGCAGTTCTGTACCTACAAGCTCAGCAGTAAGTCTCTTTGAGGTAAATGTGGTTTACTTCTCAGCAAGAGGATATATTAGGACTGCAGCCATAATACAGGAATCATCATCATCATAATCATCGTTGAACTGCAGAGCTAGGAGGGACCCTATAGATCATTGTGTCCTGCCCCTGCCAGTGTCATACTCAGTATCATAGCAGGCAGGATCACTTGCAGACTCTGCCCAGAAACATTCTCTTCTCAGTTGACAGTACATAAGGGGGGGGGGGGGGGAAAGCAGACTCAAGTATGAGGTTTGGAGAGGAGAGGATTGAAGTGGTAGACAATTTCCCCACTGCCTTGTCTTTCTTACTGCTGCTGTAGCTGGCTGGAACATCTTCAGATAGAACAACTACAAACCTGTCCATATCAGCTCAAGCAACCGCACTGCCTGAACTGATGCAATGCATTTTCTTTTTTAAAAAGTAGATGTAGCAGCAGCAGAGGAAAAAATTACAGATTAGGGAGGGAAAATTCTGGGCTGATTCACATTGACTTGTACGTCATATAGTCCACACAAAAATAATGAAATCTTCCTGTCCCAATCCTGCAGCACTTCCCACGTTATTTTTAGTGTGGTCTTCCTCTAAGTGTTTTTAGATTTTAAAAAAACCTAATATTTAACTGTAAGTGGGGGTAGAACTAACAATACATTCCAAAATATGTATTTTTTTTCTTTTGCAGATTGAAGACTATGACACAGTAGCTAGCATGATGGGAGCAAAATGTAAAAAACTTAAAACACTGGATTTGTGGCGATGTAAAAATATTACTGAAAATGGGATAGCAGAGCTAGCTGCTGGCTGTTCTCTGTTAGAGGAACTTGATCTTGGCTGGTGCCCAACACTTCAGAGCAGTACTGGTTGCTTCGCAAAACTGGCATGTAAACTCCCAAACTTGCAAAAGCTCTTTTTGACAGCTAACAGGTCTGTTTGTGACTCTGACATAGAGGAACTTGCTGCAAATTGTACAAATCTCCGGCAGCTGGATATCTTGGGTAAGTAAGCCCAAGATATTTGAATTTTCTTTCAGTGAATGCACGTGGTCAGTAGCAGAAGTGTACATTTACTAAGGGGTTTTCTTGGAGATAGGGGACATGGTGGTGCTGCGGATTAAACTGCAGAAGCCTATGTGCTGCGAGGTCGGAAGGCCAGCAGTCGTAGGATTGAATCCATGCGATGGAGTGAGCTCCCGTCGTTTGTCCCAACTCCTGCCAACCTAGCAGTTCGAAAGCATGTAAAAATGCAAGTAGATAAATAGGCACCACCTCAGTGGGAAGGTAACAGCATTCCATGCTAGTCGTGGTGGCCACGTGACCACAGAAACTGTCTTTGGACAAACGCTGGCTCTATGGCTTGGAAACGGGGATGAGCACCACGCCCTAGAGTCAGACACGACTGAACTACATGTCAAGGGGAACCTTTACTTTTACCTTTCTTGGAGGTAAATTCAGAGATCTTCCATTTTCTGGTGGCAGATTCACATAAAAATGGCTCAGGAAGAAATACTTCTTACTGATAGAAACATTTGGCTATGAGAGTAAATCAGTTTAACTCCAGATTATTTGATTTACAGGATTTTGAATGAGACTGCAAATTTGTCTAATTGCTTCCTCTTTGCTGCTACTTATTTGGAAAGATATGAATTTTTCATAATTTCCTGAAAACCATTCAACTGCTATTGCCAATTTTCAAAAGCTCTTGGAATTTTAATAGTGTGTGACAGGATATTATTTATAAAGTGTGAACCTTATAATAAAACATTTTCTTGCACGACACAAAGCTCTCTACTGAGTATATTCCTTTTTTTAAAAAACTGTTAATTGTTTAAAAATATTTTGTTTCCATTTTTCTTTAGTATATATGAGAAAATGTTATCCCTGAAACTTAAAACTGCAATCTTTCATTTTAACTCAGAAACAGAAACTTTTTGCTAATCAGAGTACAAATTATTTTGTGATAATTAAAGTCCGTCTCTTTCTGCATGTTATACATTGTACAGTACTATATCTTAGCCCAGAACACAAATATTATAGAAAACCTTGTCTTATAATATACACACAAGAAATTTCTGTACATGAAGCCTGGTGTGTAAATTTCTGTACATGAAGGTTTTCCTGATTTTTTAGACCAGTTACAACTGTAGGTGACTTTTTGTTTGTTTTGCTATTTTCCTGGGGTAGAGTTCAAGCAACAAGAACTTTTTGAGTCAGAAGCTTTTAATATTAGCATTAATCCACTAACAAGTAAACAAACAAACAAGGGACCTGTGAACATAGATTATTCCTTTAAAAGGTTGAAGAGTATCCTCACTGTTTTTGGAAGAGCTGTTGTGAAAGCTAGCTGATTTCCACAGTAGATTTGCTGTGGAATGAGCATCAGCTGGAAAGAGCTCAGATCCAAATTTTCTTCTCACTCTCTTGCTAATAATACCTTTAGAAATAACAGCACATTAAATAATGGTCAAGTTGTTCTTTAATCATTGTTCTTTAATCGTGCTATTTGAAAGATGTCAATCAAATGACAAGGCTGAATCTTACAGCCCAGAATATTTGGGATTGCAGTTTTCATGATGGTATCCATGCAATTATATAGCAGAGCTGAAATGCCCAAGAAAAAGCACATATGCAGTTAGGTCCTGAAATAATTGGACATTGATATCAGTTTTGTTTTTTCAGCTGTTTACGAAAATAAATTCAAGTTACAGTTAAATAATGAATATAGACTTGAAGTGCAGTCTCTCAGCTGTAATTTGAGGGTATTTGCATCCAAATCAATGGAAGGGTTTAGAAATTCAGCTTTTTAATATTTAGTTCCCTCTTCTTCAAGGGACCAAAATAAATTGGATAGTTGACTCAAAAGTTGTTTCAGTGTGTGGACTATTCCTTTGTTATTGTCGATTGAACAGGTAAAAGATCTGGAATTGATTCCAGGTGTGGCATTCGCATTTTGAAGCTGTTGCTGTAAAGTCACAACATGTGTTCAAAGGCACTCTCAATGCAAGTGAAACAGGCCATCTTTAGGCTGAAAGAAAGAAAGAAAGAAAGAAAGAAAGAAAGAAAGAAAGATTGATTGATTGATTGATTGATTGATTGATTGATTGATTGATTGATTGATTGATTGATTGATTGATCTATCAGAGAGATAGCAGGAACATTAGGGGTGACCACATCAACAGTTTGGTACATTCTGTGGAAAAAAAATGCATTTGTGAGCTCTGCAACACAAAAAGCCTGGATATGTACAGAAGACAACAGTGGTGGATGATCATAGGATCCTTTGTATGGTAAAGAAAAACCCCTTCACAACATCTGGCCAAGTGAAGAATACTCTCCAGAAGGTAGGCATATCGTTATCCTAGTCTACCATAAAAACTTCACGAGAGCAAATACAGAGGGTTCATCACAAGGTGTTAGTCTACCATAAAAAGCAAATACAGAGGGTTCATCACAAGGTGTAAACCATTCATAAGTGTCCAGAATAGAAACGCCAGATTAGACTTATGAATATATATAGATATATATTTATTTAAAAGCCCTTTGCATTAAAGATGAAAGTCTGCACTTCAATTGCATCTGGGTTGTTTTCATTTCAAATCCATTGTGGTGGTGTAGAGAGCGAGAATTATGAAAATTGTGTCAGTGTCCAATTATTTCCAGAGCTAACTGTATTTATAGAAGTCTACAATTTGCTTACTCTTTTAAGTATTATATGATAAATATCCATCCCGGTTGGCTTACAAATTTAAGAGAGTCCTCCTAGAATGTCTGTCTATCCCATCTTTCCTTCGTTCATGGTTATTAATGCTCTGCCACAGTTAGATTGTTAACTGGGGCTGGTTACAGGGAACATACAACTCCCCTGTTATAGCAGCTTCACTGGCTGTCAATCCATTTCCAGGGACAATTCAAAGTTCCAGCTTTAACCTATAGAGCCCTAAACAGCTTGGATTGAACTACCTAAAAGATTGTATCACCATCTATGAGCATTCTCAGCTATTAAGATAATCAGGAAGGGCCTTTGTTCCATCTCACCACCATCACAGGCATGCTTGGTGGGGACACAGGAGAGAGTCTGTTGCTGCACCTAGAATTTAGAACTCCCTCCCAGGGGAGGCAAGGCTGGCCCCATCTTTGCTCTTCATCTGCAAGCAGACAAAGACCTTTCTCTTCAGGTTAGGGTTTCTTTTAAATGACTGGTTGACCAGTGGAATTTTTAAAAGGGATAATTTATTCTGTGTTTTACTTGTGTTTTTAGTACTGCTCATACTTATGAATTCTTAATATGATACTTTTTCAGTCCTTTTTTAATATTGTAATAATTTATTTTTAGCTTTTGTCTTTGTTTCTTTTAATACTTTAAGTCACCTTGGATACTTTAGGAGAAAGGCTGCATATTAAAATTTTAAATAAATAAATAACATAAATTTAGGTGCCATGTTTGATGCAATGATTAAAATAGGAGAATGGATAATGTAAAAAGAGGTTAGTTTTCTTCTTTGCTTATAGGTCTCCATATGCAGTGACATTATATGATGACCTAAATTGCAGCATATGTATGGATTATGCTTAAATAAGGAGATGAAACATGCTCAGAGGAATGAACTTACATTTGATATTTTGACTGCAGCCAGGCAGCATGAAGTGCAGCTTAGAAGAATGTGGTGGGTTTATCCATCTGTACGCCAACGTACATCAGTTGTTATCTCAAATCACTGAGTTAAACCAGTAATTCTAAATAAATTCACACAAATTTAAAAGCTGTATTTTCAGATATGCAGAACTCCTCAGGCATGAAAAGATGAATAACAATGCATTCTTTCCTTGTATGCGAATATTTAACTGCTTCTTAGATGCTATAAACCACCAAAAACCTCCCACAGCTTCCTACAATGCCAAAAGCTCCAACTGTCCCCTTCATGGCTGTCAAAACCATCAGCTTTCCTTGACAGTTTCAAAAGCAGTTACTCAATTTTTTTTGTACAGAAATAAGTGTGTTAAAAATATAACCCCTATGCCAGAAAGGCATTTTGTACCTGAATTTCTAAGAGTTTCCCTTCTGAAGGATCCCTCCAGAACTTCCCAAACCACTCTGCCCACTGTAATTTAAAATCTGCAGCTCTGACAACTCTCTTGGCTTAATTTAACATCCCTGAAATGAGGGCGGGGTGGGGGTAGGGAGTGTGTCCAAGGAATGGGTGAAAACTTTGTGCGGGGGGGGGAGTGGGTGGGACTCAGTGTGCAACCTCACAGATTACACCTAAGAGAATGTGGCTTTGTGGAGGGGTGGACAGGGAAGGTTCGTACCTTCACTTTAGCTTTTCATGCCTCCGATTCAGAATTCAACTATGATCTCCAAGAATGTTTTACTAAACATTATGACAGCAAATGTTCATACCTTCTTTAAGCACCGCTTGAATTTCTTAACAGACAAGCTAAGGTATGAATTTTTGTCAGTCAACAAGATTGTACTGCTCTGAAGCATTCCTTAAAATGCCAATATTAAAGGATTGTTAGAAGGAAAATCCTGGCAGATCGTACCTTATGAGTTTATACGAAAGTGCGAACAGCTAGTACAAGTGACAAAATAAAGATCAAGCAACAGAAATCTTGTATTTGGGAGTCCCATAGAATCTGGGGGGGGGGGATATTAGTAGGTTCACCTTACGATGTCCGGTGCTTTTTAATAGTCCTCTTTCTTAATATAATTGCAGGAAAGCACACAAAGTATGTTGTTCTGTAGTTGATTTCTGACTGATTAGCTTAACATATGTTACCTGAATATACATAGTTTGTGAATGCTGTACACAACAGTTGTATTTGGGAAATTGTAGATGGAAATTAAGTGAAATTAAGATTTTTTAAAGGATAGATGCAGACTTCCATAAAGTCAATGATGTGAAATCATTGCATTAATTCTCACCATGTTTTGGTCAAGCTTATAGTTTGGTTTTTCTGGTTCTGCTAACTGGGAGTTTCTAGTGGTGTTGGCAACTCCTCTTAAAGTCATTTTCATTGGAACAGTTTTTGAAGTCTTTAAAAACAAATTGTCTATATGTACTGAATATTATAAAGGGCTATCAAATGTGGAAGTCTTACATTTAAGGCAGGTAGCTTGCTGGAGCATGGGGATTGCAGAGAAAGTTAGTGCTCGGTTCAGAGATAAGATTGGGAGACTACAATGTGAAACTGAGTTCTCTCTTCAAGAGGAAAAAAATCCACCTACTTCATATTCTCAATTGATGCTAAAATGTGCGTTTTTATATGCTTTGTATTATACTTCTGCACTGTTTGTCAAATAAACCTTTGCTTTGCTGGGAACTTGCATTCAGATAAGCATGTTTTAATTGAAATCGCTTACACGTGTTCATTGCCTTGAGTATGAGAGGTGACTCACTCAGTGAAATGTGGGCTGACTTAATAAGTAGCCAAAATTACTGTTTATCACTCAAACTGTGCCACTGATTACTCACTTCCAAGTAAGACAGATTTTTTGTTATTTAGTGATTACATGACAGTGTATATTCTATAGCTGATCCATGTTGCTCATCATAGGAGGGGATCAATGTGAATCCAGAGAGGTAGCTTCCCAGGATCATTCAGAGAAATTAAGGGGAGAAGCCTGATTAGTTAAGAAATAATGATGACTGTATGACTCTTCACATTTTATTCCACTTTTACTTGAAAGCAATAGAAGGGAGTTTTTCATCATGAGTACAATCTCATAAGGTAGACTAGGCTGAAAATGACTTACTCAAGGCTACACAGTAGAACTTCAGGGCTTAACAGAGAGGATGAGCTTTTTAGATAAAGTCTGTGTTGTCAATATTTTTTTTACATCCTGAGACTCATGTCTCCCATCTGAACTTTTGCCACCAGTGGATGTCCCAGTTTCCTCTGCTTTGCTAAATTTACTTTGGCATGTTGCAGGGTTTTTTATTTCAATTTGTCAGAATCCAGTTGAATACTTATGTTTGCATAAGTGCAGTGGTATAACATGGACTGGTGAATAGCTTCTGATTAACCAGTCCCCACTAAATTCCTAGTAGCAAACCAGTTGTTGACTCAGAATACAACTAGGAATTCAATGAGGAACTTCTTAATCAGTGGCTAGTTGCTGCTCCCAAGTTGTACATAACAACAGATGTAAGCAGTCATTTGGATTCTGGCTTCTGATTGAACTAGAGGAAATCTATTTACATTAATATGTTGTACTACCGTAATTATAGACATTACAATGCACACACCTCACGTAGCACAATGTATTTGCTCTCTTTAAATAACTAGTTTCTTTCCTTCTTTTCTAGGCACAAGAATGGTAAGCCCTGCTTCTTTAAGAAAATTGCTGGAGTCTTGTAAAGATCTTTCCTTACTTGACGTGTCCTTCTGTTCACAAATTGATAATAGAGTTGTCCTAGAATTGAATGCCAGCTTTCCGAATGTGCTCATCAAGAAGAGCTTCACTCAGTGACTCAGTTCATATGCTGCTATATGGAACTGCTTTGACAATCCTGCTTCCCGTGAATTTGTGATGACTTTTTTAAAAGAAAAAAATTCATGTGACTAATGGGGGAAAGGTTAAATCTTCTTAATATTAAGGTTAAATAAGAAATCAAAGATTTAAATTTTGAAAGGCCATTATTCCATGTACTGCACCCAGTTACTGTATTGGCAAATGGATCTCCATGTGTGAAATGAAAAGAATCATGTAAATATAAGGTGACATACAATTACTGTAAATGTCTTTTAAAGAGCATTAAATACTACCTGGATAGTATGATTGGAATAAATTTGTAACACTAATTGAAAAGTGGAGAACAGAACGTCATTTTAAGCATTGGCTTTCATGGATCGAATATGAGTTGGTCACAATTGGAGCCTCAAGTAGTTAAAGTACAAACAAGTATGAAAGCCATTTTCATCTAAAAATGATTGATATAGCTCATTTCAAGCTGTTGTTTGTGGAAGCGGATTTACCATTTCCAATAAACATTGGTGCATTTACATGTCTGGTTATCTTAAGGCATTACATTTATCATAACAAAATATTTATTTAATTATAAACGCAAACTTCCTGCGGCTGACATATTTTCTCCTTTGTCTCTTGGTGATTTCTAATAATTGCAATTGAGTAACCAAAATTTTCCCCACCCTTCTTCCATTTCATTGGGTTTTTGCAGAGGTGGTGCTGGTGGTGGAAACTTAATTCACTGACATCACATCCCCTGTTTTGTATTACTAAATTAATTGGGAATGGAGAAAAATAGTAGCAACATTTCTTTTTGAGATGGTCTACTCCAGCAGTGCTGCCTGCTTTATTTTTGATAGGAAACATTTATTTTGGTTTGTTTATTGTAATAATATGTAAGATAGTCTTTTCCAACCTGGTGTTCTCAGATAGTATAGATTACAATTCGTTAATTTCCATTGGCCAGACTATCTGGCATCAAGTATATCTTTTTGATCAGAACTGCCAGAGATCATTAAGGTGACTGCTAAACTGTTAGTTGAAGATTTTTTAAAATGTCTGTCTTTCTGTCAAGTAGCTTGATGACAAGTGGAGATCTTAGGATTGTTAAAGAGCATTGCTACCATACCAATTAGACAAGTGTATCAGGTCTCACCATTGCACATCAAATTTGAGGCAAACCAAACTGAAACACATAATACAAAACAAAAACAAGCTAGATCAAGCATTTTTTAAAAATAGCATTGAGTCTTGAACTTGTCATTTTAAAGCCAGTTTTGAATGTCCTTCGTTATACTGCCACCCCAAAGTGTGATGAAAAAAATATTCAAAAATGGTTGTATTCATAGCAGTTGAGAGCTACAGTTCATTAAATGTGCAGTAATCTTCTACTTCAAAGAAACTTTCCATATCCTATTTATATTTAAATATGATTAATTAGCTCTGAATCAGTGGGGATTTGGTAAGTCAACTCCTCTGTAACTTCCATTAATTCAAGTGGGCCTACTCTAGTTGCAACTTACTTTGCTAAAGTAAGTTTCAACTAGAGTAGGCCCATTTGAATCAATGGATCTTATGTAACAGTTGACATCAGATCCCCACTGATTCAATGGGCCTACTCTAGTGAAATTTATTATGCTAGACAACAGGATTTAAACTGTTGTCAGTAAGTGTGATACTGTGACTTATGAGTTTCCCCCTCCAGATTACAAAATATGTGTGTCTGCTCGTGCACACATGCCATCAGGTCAATTATGACTTATAGTGGCCCTTTCCAGGATTTTCTATTACAAAATACTCAGAAGTGGTTTACCATTCCTTTCTTCTGGGGGCATCCTAGGATTATTCAGTTTGCTCAAAGCCTCACAGGCTGGCTGTTCTCCCTGGAGGCACAGTAGGGAATCAAACCCTCAACCTCTGGCTTCCTAAGCACTGAGCTATCCAGCCAGCTCAAGATAAACAGCAAATGCACTTGTCTCACAATGGCAAAAATGTGCTCTTTCATTTAGTAGGTAGAATGACACCTAATAGGATGAATGGCACCAGTAGGATGGATGCAACCTGGCTTTGCAGTTGTACATGTAAAAAAGATTGAATGTCTTAGTAGGCCACAAGCTAAACATTTATCGACAGTGTGATGCAACTGCAAAACAAGCAAGCAAACAAATCAACCAATCAGCTACCTTATATGCTTTTATTGTACCAACACAAGTATCGTGTCCAGATCAAGGAGGTGGTGCTACTGTATGCTGCCTTGGTTAAGAGTTCATCTAGAACAGGGGTCAGGGAACTTTTTTACCTTTTATCCCACCCAAAAATGTATATACACCAACATTACCCCCTTGATTCGAAAGGAAGGAAATCATACATTATTTTAATTAAAAATATTATTGAATCTGCACAGTGTACCGAACTAGCAGGATGCACCAAGTTTGATAAAGATGTGCACTATTTTTGCTGGAACACATTGCACTCCACCCATGGTGTGGTATAGGGAATAGTAAGGTGTCCAACGTGCCTAGCAAGTTGCATTAAATTTTTGCTAGCTCGCAGAGGATTTCATCATCAGTGGCTGCCAGAGTGGTGCTAGCAACGACATGCTTGCTAGAGACAGCCAACAGAGAATTGGGGTGGGGGGGTCTTTCCCTACCACTTTAATCATTCTATGTGTGGTGTGCAAAAAGAAGCAAACCAGGCTAAAGGTCATTTCACCCACCCTGGTGCCATAGCCCAATATCAAAGGACCAGTGTGCTTTTTTTTATCATCTACAATTGCCTTGTAGAATGTTCATTTGCTCTGTCGTGTAATAACATCATTGCACTGGTACAGTGATAATGTCTGCAGAATGTGCCTGTTAAAAAGTCACATAACTTCAAAAAGTCATTTTGCTTTCCTTTGCCATGAAAACAGTTTAATGAAAACAGGAAGCCAAGCAAATTTTAAGAGTGTTCAATATGAATATTGTCTTCCAATAGTTTTCTGTTTTACGTGCTACTTTCATAAAGACATTGTTGCTTAGACTAGAATTTTCTTTGCCTCCCCTCCCACTGCTTAATTGCACTTGAGGATTGATTACTTCTTGCCTGATAGTAAAAAGTACTTGAAACATTAATGTCAAATATGGAATAGAACATACATAAATTATATGGGTCACTTTTCTGATACAGTAGTGTCTCTCTTTGAAGGGAGAGGAAAGGGTAAAATGCTTTGAAATGGCACTTGAAGGGGATTTTGTTGACTTAAAACTGTAGGGAAGCTAGTGCTAATTCCATTTTCTCACCACTCAAGAGATATAAATATCTTTCTGTCTCAACTAGGTTTCCTTTCTCTATGATGAAGCATGGTTTTTACATGACCTCTTCAAAACATGAGGGTTGGATCTTTGGGCAGGAAGTGTATGGTTTCAGGATATTTGAGAAAGGGACTGTTGATTCTGAATTTCTGTGGTTTACTAGTAAGCGAGAAGTTCCACTGCATGGTGGGTGGGTAAAGTGATTATTTTTAATTTTTTATTTGTTAAACAAGCAATGATGGTTGAGGTAAACAGGATGTTCCACTGATAGTGGAAAAAGAAGAAAGATCTTGAATCATTTGTCATCTATCAGTCAATGCTAAACCATATTTTCTTACCTCAGTGATAGATTGGGCCCGCCCTACTGAGATAACTAATACAGACAATCTGTGTGCGGGAGCATTGTAAAACATGAGACTTTTCTGTTTGTTTAAGCAGCTATCCTTTCTACCTCTGTTTAGCTGTTTGAAATACTAATTCACCCATATATTTTAACAAAAAACTTTGCTGGCATTTATTCAGGGTGATATTTGACTTCAAGGTATTGAAAACTGCAAGAAGGTCAAGTATTTCCAGTGTGGTCCCATTCATTCACCTCTTAACTGAAAACCAGAACAATACACCCCACCTTGACACCAAATTAAAAATCTTATCTGCTACCTTATTTTGTGCATAATTTCAAAGCTCCACAGTTGGCTTGTTCATTCATGCTCCTTTGCTCCTTTGCTCTCCTTTCTCTCTAGCCCACCCTCACCCGCTAAGCATGTGAAGCTGGGAATTTAGCAGTAGAGGGATGCAGGTGGGGCCTAACCTTCCTTACCCCTAGACAAGTAGATTGGGCTGACAAGGGTAGTCTGAGCCTGGGATAGGGCAGTGCCTATAGAAAAGTCAAATGAAGATTATGTATCAGTTTAAGAATTCAGGCATCTTAGAGCCTGAACCCTGCAAGAACACTCTGGCTATATTAATTTTCATGTTTCATGTTTGAATTCTGCCATGGATAAAAGAAAAATGCAAATAATCCTAGTCTTGTAAAACTATGAAAAGGAGGAGAATTGTGTTTTTAACCTGAGATTTTAGATTTGATCAGCAATTCATAAGCATCATTGAAGAGTAATTTTTGCAATGAACTGTATTAAGTACCAATCATGCCAAAGCGATCTAATTACAGTACCTTAATTAAGGAACTCCATTGGTATCAGCCTTCCAAATGGATTGAAGAATTGACCTCAGAGTAACAGCCATGATAAGAAAGGTATGTAATTGGTTGAATGACTAAACCTTTAAGGGGTGTCAATAATTGGGTCAAGATAAGATAAAATTCAAAAGAAGCACCCAAAGGGGGCTGCTTGCTTGTTTGTTTTTGACACATTTGAGTTGGTCCAGTTGAGTTCAACATCTTCATTGACAATTTGATTGAAGGACCAGATGATGCATTTATTAAAGTTGTAGTAGGCACAAAGATTGGGGGGGGGGAGAGAGAAGGAAAAAAAACACAAGTGCAGTGAAGGCTAAAAATCGCATTCTGACCAGCTCAGTGAAATTCAGCATTGACCCTGTATCAGACCCTTCTCAGAATTCAGCTTAGAACACCAGTTGAGTTCTGTGTTTGCGGACTCAACTAGTTCCTGGATTACCAGCCCAGCTGACTGGGACTGATGGTAGTCCTTCCTTGCCTTTGTGGAGAGATATGGTCTTATTCTGAAGCCCCATGAGTTGGATGGACCAGTCCCCTGGGCTGTAGAGCAATGAAGCTATCAAGGATTTTAATACTGATGGAACTGTGATTTTAATAAAGTTGAGATGGAGGGAAGGAAACGACCTGGAGAGAAGTGAAACAGGTCAATGATGACTGAATATTCTTAGTAGACCCAAAATGCTGGTGGATTGTTATGCATGGTGTGTGTTAAGGGAAACCAGAGTGAGAGACAGTGGGATAGAGTGACAAGAACTTTTGAACAGAAATTACTGTTTCTCTCTGAATATATTTGTATGTGTGTGTAGTGATAGAAGCCTCACTTGACAATTGCCCCAAAGCCTGGTAACAGGCGGGTAGATAGCCAGATAACTCAGAACCTCACACAGAATGGGCACTTACGCACTTACTGCTGGATACAGTACTTTAAAAATTGATACCTACAAACCTGAAGTATTTTTCCAATTTATTCGCGAAGCCTTTCATGGCCGGAATCTAATGGTTGTTGTGGGTTTTTCGGACTCTTTGGCCGTGTTCTGAAGGTTGT